ATGTGGAAGGAGCCAACTATCAACTGGAGAGACAATAATCTACTCCGGTCACCCAGAGGACGATCACGAGCACACCGAGGGAGTAGCCATCATGATGTCACCAACAGCGGCTAAAGCTCTCATGCAGTGGGAACCAATCTCCTCCAGGATAATGACAGCCAGGTTCAACTCAAAAGGAAAAAAGGTTACAATCATTCAGTGCTACGCGCCTACAAATGCCTCAGAACATGAGAAGAAGGAGGATTTCTACAGTCAACTACAAACAGTAATGGACAACGTCCCAAAGAGCGATATCAAAATCCTGATGGGCGACATGAATGCGAAACTGGGAGGAGACAACACAGGAAGAGAACTCACCATGGGTCGTGAGGCCCTCGGTGAAATGAACGAAAATGGCGAACTCTTCTCAGACTTCTGCGCCTTCAATGATTTGGTGATTGGTGGCAGTGTGTTCAAACACAGGGATATACACAAGGCAACATGGATTTCACCAGATGGACACACCAAAAACCAGATAGACTTCATTTCAATCTCAAGGAAATGGAGACGGAGCCTACTGGACACAAGATCGAGGAGAGGAGCAGATGTCGGTTCAGACCACTATCTAGTACAAGGGACTTTCAAGGTGAAGCTGAAAGCCTCGAGGATACCTGGGGATAGGCCACAATGCAAGTTCAACACGCAAAAACTGAAAGACACAACCACAAAGGACATTTTCACTGCAACTGTCAGAGCAAAGCAGGAAACACTACGTGGCACCACTGAGGAATCATCCGTGGAAGACCATTGGAACTCTCTGAAGGTAATTTTCAACGAAACGTGCTCAACGGTTTTAGGAAGAAAGAAGAAACAAGACAAGGAATGGCTCTCAACAGACACTTGGAAACTAATAGAGGAGAGGAGAAAGGTGAAAGAAAAAATGATTCAATGCAAAGATGGACAAGAGAAAGAGACGCTGAACTCAACTTACACAGCACTGGACAAAGAAGTGAAGAAGAGTGCCAGGAAGGACAAAAGACAATTCTACGACAACCTGGCTACTGAAGCTGAGAAGGCAGCAGGCAAAAGGGACCTGAGGACACTATATCAGATAACCAAGTCTCTATCCGGGAAGAGATCAACACAAGTGAAACCTATAAAAGACAGCCAAGGGAACCCAATTACCAAAGAAGAAAGACAGATTAAACAATGGGCGGACCACTTCAAAGGACTCTTGAACCGACCACCACCTGCAACTCGTCCAGTAATACCAACAACAGCACGTACACAACTGCAAGTTGACACCAATCCTCCAACGAAAACTGAAGTCATAAATGCAATCAAGCTTCTGAAATCTGGAAAAGCAGCTGGACCAGATGGAATACCCCCGGAAGCACTGAAAGCGGACCCAGAAACGACGGCAGATATGCTGACTCCATTATTGCAAAAGATCTGGAAAGACGGAAAGGTGCCTACTGACTGGAGGAAAGGTTACCTGGTGAAACTACCAAAGAAGGGCGACCTGGGACTCTGCAAGAACTGGCGAGGTATCATGCTCCTGTCGACGCCAAGTAAAATCCTGAGTCGCATCATCCTGGAGAGAATCAAGGACGCACTGGATACAGAACTCCGACCAGAACAAGCTGGATTCAGGAAAGGCAAATCATGCTCTGACCAAATTGCAACTCTACGCATTATCATCGAACAAAGCATGGAATGGCAATCAAATCTCTACCTCAACTTCATAGACTTTGAGAAGGCCTTCGACAGCGTTGACCGCGAAGTAATTTGGAAACTACTCGAGTACTACGGCGTACCCCAAATATTCATCAACCTTATTCAACAACTGTACGACAACGGCACATGTCAAGTGATCCACAACGGAAAACTCAGCGAAGCGTTTGGAGTAAACACAGGAGTCAGACAAGGGTGCTTATTATCACCAATGATATTCCTAATTGTGGTGGACTGGATTATGCGTCAGACAGTGGGAAACGAGAAGACAGGGATATCCTGGACCGACGTGAAGAACCTAGAAGACCTGGATTTCGCGCGTGGATGATTTATGTTTGATGTCACACAAAATCGAAGACTTACAAGCAAAAACCGACAAACTGGTCGAAGAAGCAGCAAAGACAGGACTCCAGGTGAACATAGACAAGACGGAGGTTATGAAAATAACCAACCAAGAACAGCAGCAACATCCAATGCCAATCACCATCAACGGGAGGGATTTGAAAGAGGTTACTTCATTTACTTATCTAGGGAGCATTGTCTCAACCACAGGAGGAACGGACGAGGATGTTAAATCGCGAATCGGGAAGGCGAGAAACACATTCATCAACCTGAAACCAATCTGGAAATCTTCGTCACTCAGCATCAACAACAAAATTCGGATTTTCAATACAAACGTGAAGTCAATTTTACTTTACGGATCAGAAACTTGGCGGGTCACCAAGAATATTTTCAAAAGGTTGCAGACCTTTATCAACAACTGTCTTCGCTCCATACTGAAGATTAGATGGCCGGAAAGAATCACAAACAAGAAGCTATGGGAACAAACGAAACAGGAACCAATCGCCCAACAAATATGCAGGAGGAAGTGGAGATGGATTGGACACTCGCTGAGGAGGCCGTTGAGTGACATCGCGCGTCAGGCCCTCGAGTGGAACCCGAAAGGGAAGCGACGAGTGGGACGTCCAAGGGTGACATGGAGGAGATCGTGTGAGGAGGAGATGAAACAGTATGGAATAACATGGACGCAAGTGAAAAGTACAGCAGAAGACAGAAGCAAGTGGAGACGTGCAGTTGAAGCCCTATGTTCCACTAGGAACCCAAGGGAACAATAATAATATAATATCATACCACTTCACACGGGAGATAGAACGCAGAACCTATGATCGAAGCCAGATAATCTTTTCATGTCTTCCACTTTTAATGGCCAGGTCTCATAGCCATAAAGGTGGATGCAGCGGACTGTTGAGCAGTACACACACCCTTTGGTCGATAGTCGGATATCACGTCTGTGCCAGAGACGGCGTAAACTGGCATATGCGAAACTAGCCCTCTTTATCCGTTTTGAGATTTCATCAGAGAACAACCCGTTGGGGCTGATGGTACTTCCCAAATAAGTGAAGCGGTCAACTTGCTCTACTACCACTTCACTCCCTATTTCTAAACTAGGAGTCAGTGTAGTCCAGTCCTGTAACATCATCTGGAGGGGTAAATTAAAATCAGTGTAATAGGGAGTACAAATATAGTAGTTGAAAGTCGGGGAGAGGATGTGAAAATATAATCTAAAAACTAGAAACTTTCGATTAGCAAAGATTATCTTTCGAATGTTAAGACAAATTAGGTTTATCGTAGGTTCAGTAACTGAACAAATTTCTTCTTCTTCTGTATGCAGAGTTTAGGATTTAACATATAGATTTCCATCGCTTCTGCGGCTCGAAGAAGTTTGACTTGTTCAATTCCTATGAGGCTGACTGGTTAGAACTCGGTTACTCAGTGCTGGGATATGAGCCATACTTATTGTATGGAGTGGACCCAGAGATATGAGCTGACTTGATGACACCACTACTGGAGGAGGTATGGAAAGAGGGTAAGGTAACTGCAGATTGAAAGAAAGGAAGCATCCTTTCAACTACAGGCGTACGGAACTGACGAGGATATCAAAGCGAGGATCATCGGGGAAGTAAGGCAAGCTTTCATTACTCTCAAGTCTGTGTGGAGATCAACAGCTCTCCATAGCATGAAAAATAAGATCCGGATTTTCAACTCCAATGTGAAGTAAGTGTTACTTTATGGATCAGATACTTGGCGCGTCATGAAGAGCACTTCGAACAAACTACAGACTTTCATCAACAGCTGTCTACGCTCAATACTCCAGATCAGGTAGCTGGAAAACATCAGCAATAGGGAGGGATCTCTGGGAGCGAAACAACCAGGAGCCGATTGTGCAACAAATATGCAGGAAGAAATGGAGGTGGATTGGCCATACTCTCAGAAAACAAACCATCAAGTAACATCACACGACAGGCCATCGCTCGAATGGAACCATAATGGAAAGCGGTGAGTTGGTCGTCATTACGAGGGTGACATGGAGGAGGTGATGTGAAGAGGAGATTAAAGCATGTGGGCAGACGTGGAGCCAGGTGAAGACGTTGGCAGAGAGCCGGACGCAATGGAGACATGCGACTGAAGCCTGATTTTCCTCGAAGAACTAAAAGGCCCAGACTGGAGTAGGTGGGGCAAGGTTCGATTGATTAAGTCAGTAAACCGCATCTCCACTATTCCAAGGCTACACAAGTATCACCATTTGAACTGGAAATAAGACAGGCTGACAACATTTGATCAATTGATAAAAAGGTTTACAGTGAATTCTTTAGCATGTAACAACCACTATTATTATAAGACTATATATAAGCCAAGATTATCCCTTAAATACACACACCGAAAGAAATATCACTGAACACATGTATAAAAAAAAGAAGAGAAGAATTATGAATCTGTCCTAGAAAATGAGAAAGAAACCCATCAATTTCAAATTTCTAGTTTGTCCTAAAATAATAATCATAAAATATTAATAATTTAGCCAATCAGTCAATCAATAAGAGATCTATACTGAATATATATATATATATATATATATATATATATATATATATATATATATATATATGGTTGAATGCATACAATGTATTTCTTTCTATCTATCCAGTGGTCACATCTACACACCAAATTCGACTGACACTGAATAATTGTTAGATCATCATGAAAATAAATGTGTTTGTGTGTGTGTGTAATTTATGGAAGGTAAACAACAGGCCAAGTAACAAAATACAAAGCAGACATATATATATATATATAAACCAAAACAGTAAACAAAACACAAAAAACACCCAACGGAAGTAAACATACATTGGAAATGCATAAATTACAGGGTGCTGAGAATAAGACAACAACATAAATGAGTTAGTGACACACACACAAAAAAAAACATCGACCCAAGGATGACTTACTTCATCATCTTTGTACCATGTCAGTGTATCAGCGGTTAGCACAAACCAACAATAACGACTGCCACCGCGTAGTAAACTCGGATTGATTAGACTTAGCCAACCTTTACAGATAACCTAAAATAGAGGACACAAGGAAGAGACTTCAGGAAAATATTATTCACAAGGGGTATTTGCAATTTTCAAGCGTTAGTTTGTAAGGATTTGATTTGGCTCAAGTTTGATAGCGGATTGATGTCAGTTAGAGAGCCACTGAAAGCAAGGTAGTACGGGACAGCTGTTTCGTCCCAGTTTGGGACTCTTCATCAGTACACACCTATAACCCAGTACCTTCAGGTTACCAAGCTACTTGGGGCGGAATCAAATGACCCATGAATTCTAACTTGTATCGATTCGCGAGTTTGGTGCGACCGCCGGCCAATGTCATCGGCAGGTACCTGTCCTCACACTTGACATGGTGAACCCCACTGGTTTCGACTGCTCACCAGAACTCTAGGCAACTTCGTCCTGTCTCTGGTTAACACCAAGAATCAGATCAATTTAATTTATTTCTGTCTTTCTGGTGAAAAGAAATGCATCAATGATAATATGATGTAAGCATGGAGACATTTTGGGGTATGCAGGACTGAAATGAATACAAGACATCGTGTGCTTACATAAAGTGTATAGGAATTTGAAAAAATTCGCGACTTGGTAATAATTCGCACAATAACTAACTAAAATTAAATGACTTGGAAACGATTTTACGAGCACATTATATGTATAAATATATTCATCATTTAGTAACTCGTGATTTCTTACGTAGAACTTGGAAATAGTTGTATGACGCAACGAAGCCTAGTTATTACACATGCACATACAAATCTCTTATAAAGAACTCGTTTATACCACATTTTGTCTAAGTTATATATTTAAAAGTTGAACGTGATGAGGTTTTGACGAAAATCCGTGTTCACTTAAGTTATGATTATTAAACGACTAGCCTATGGACAGGAGAACTCTATTCTAAAAGCGCCTAAAGAGACTAATACGGTTGAACCAATGTGTGTGACGAAACACACACTGCTATACAACTTCGTACAGAAAAGTGTTGTTTTATGGTCAGTCAGATTTTTAAGACCTTCTAGCTACTTTTAGGATCCTTACAGTCTCTTTTTGTTGATTCAACTAACCCGGATCGATGATGGCTGCTACCATGACGTGGAGCCTGGAACTCATTTTCCTGTAGATCCAACCCTACTATGACAGAAAAGTCGTCTGGATAATGGTAAAACTAAAACTAGTTACCATTATAGTGTAAATCGTTTACGCTATGTTGGGGTCTGCAGACGAAATCGAAATCCCGGTGAATGAGGATATGACGGCAGTAATGGGTTTCCGTCGGAGGATCAGCAAGCAAGCTATGCTGCCTCTCAGTTCGGGAGATGAAGGGGTTGGGAAACGTCGGCCCCGAAAATTGTATATTCCGAACTTGGCTTTAGGCTACCCATAGGCAGCAGTAATATTTTAATACGGACACAACCCAAGAAACTACTTCAAGTAGGCCATGTGTGTGACCAGCCTCAAGCAGTTTTCCCTTGGGCTCTGCAGTCACGCAACACTAATACACCTTCACTCTCAGATATTTTCAGAAGTAATCGACTTCAACGGTATGGTAGCTACAATTGTAATAACCATCCATACACACTAAGCACACAGGAGGGCTTCATTGATCATTATCACCCTCCATCTCTCGTTCGATTAACTTCGTTTGTTGTACACTCTAAGTTGTACTGAAATCTAGCTGGCAAAAAAGTTGTTATTAAGATGATCATAATAGCGGTCAATTAAACTTTGACAGATAACGCAGGGGTTCGGCCTAGTGACCTGCATATTGGCAAGTCGAGTGTAAAGAACTAAGGAAAAGACAAACAAATTTTTCTCTTTGTATTTTTTAGTTACTACACGGTTTTCAAGTAAACTAACAGCTAAAATATGAATGGACAAACTAACTGATCGCGATACAGTAGGACGAACAATAATAATACATCCAGTCAAAGCTATTAAATATCTTACCAAATGAGTATAAACACACTATCAGTAATAAATATGAGCGCGGTAGAGGTGGTGGTGGTGGGGAGGGGCTAGGAATGTGAAAATGAAAAGACTTGAGGACATAATGGTGTGCAAGATCTAGAATAAAACAATGAGAATACCTGAAGGACTGGTGTTAGATGATTGGAAGGAATCGACAGGAAGCCTTGGACCTAGGTTTCGTACTTGTTGACACTCATCAGCAAGATGTGTCTACAATCCTTAAAGGACTCAAGTTCCTTCGAAAATTCGAACTCAGGTCAGGTGGGTGTTTTTCATGCTTAAAGCAATGAGAACACGTATTCACCACGACATTCTAAGCTATGTCACTTGATATTCCATAACTGCTAACTCTAAAATCGCTCACATACTCATTACAAAATCTACAGTTACGACTGTGAACAATAAGAAGCGATTCAACGGATTCTTCTTCTTCTTCTCAATTTTCGCTATTAACGCTGAAGTGGCTATCTGCTTGCCCCCCTCCCTCCTCATTACGCAATATTTTCAACACTAAAAGTATCCCATTGACTTGAAATTCATAATATGTCACAACCACAGTATGAATGAGTTTGGCAGGAACCTTTCAGTGATGTCTAAAATAACAAATTCAGTGGTCCCATTTCAGAAGAAAAATATAAAGCTTGCATTCCTCATGGATTCAAATGCTGATAAGACAAAGGTTGATATTGTCCTCGTTCTGAACTAAGAATGGACGATCACGGTTATGTCAACTGTCCAAGCGGATGATGTAAGCTCAAAACTTCAACCCTGTTTCTAGGTTTGGTTGGTTGCATACGACATTTGGAAATCCTCTGGCTTATAAGAAATTAAAAAAGCACTAGAGTTCTGCTGAATTATTGTGTAAATGTCTTACAGGGAATAGAAAAAAAATGTTATTTGGAATAATCGATTCATCCGGGAATATATATATCCAGTCAGTGCATGTATACAAAGGTTCGCCTATATTCAATACAAAACAAAGATGCCGATTCATGTAATTTAATTCTTATAATAATTATACAATAATAATGATAACAATACTGGTAGTATTGTAAGCTACTTCACATACCTGGTTGCCCAATTTACTCTTAGCACTATCAGCCACTCGTTGTTCAGCACTAAAGTAGTTAGAAAATGAAACAGAACAAGACGAAACCATCAGTAACAACAACAACAAAAATGTGAAATCAATCACTTATCTACTTCTTTTAAATAAACAAAAAAGTTTAACAGCTGTCTCCGCTCGATACTGAAGACCAGGTGGGTGAACAGAAAGGATAGGCAAGGAGAAACTCTGGCAAAGAATAAACCAACAACCGATTGTCCAAGAAGTGTGCAAAAGAAAATGGAACGGAAATACGCTGAAGAGACCGTTGAGTGACATAGCCCGAATGAGCAACGATGAACTGGGAGTCCGTAGATGACATAGAGGAGACCACGTGAGAAAGAAATGAAAGCTGATGGACAGCCGTAGAGCCAAGAAAAGAAGACTATGAAGGACAGGGTGAAATGGAAATGCACTGTTGAAGCAGCAAGTCTCACTCGGAACCCAAAGACAGGCGGAACAGATAAAGATTTCAAAGCCAACCAGAATCGGAAAGGCAAGATACACCTTCGTCAACCTGAAATCAGTTTGGATATCTTCTGCACTGCACTCAGCATAAACAAGAAGATTCGGACTTTCAACACAAATGTGAAGTCAGTCAAAAACTTGGCGTGTCAAGAAGAGCATTTCCAACAGGTTGCAGACTTTTATCAACAACTGCCCACTTCTCTGGTTCTACACTGAAGATCAAATGGCCAGCCGGCCAGAAAGAATTAGCAGCAAGAAACTCTGGCTGGGAACAAACCGACCAAGAGCCGACTGCTCAACAAATATGTAGGAGAAAATGGAGATGGATTGGGCATACGCTGAGGACCCCATCGAATGACATTGTGCGCAATTCAGGCAATCAGTCGAGTGGAATCCCAGTGGAAAGCGACGAGTGGGTTGTTGGTGCGAGGGTGACATGGAGGAGATCGTGCTAGTTGGAGGAGATGAGAGACTATGGGTAATCTTGAAGAGAGCTAAACAGGACTGCAGAGAGCAGGATGCAATGGAGATGTACTATTGAGGCCCCATGTTTCACTCGGATCTCAAGGGAACAATGATAATATATATTCTCCGCATAAAGAATGTTTTGAAACAGCCGAGAGTTTGAATTTTTTTATTCCTTCACGTTCCTTAGTGGAACATAGGGCTTCAAGCTAGAGGCTTGCATGGTCGGCGAGCGTCCTGACCGCTATGCCACCGTTTGAATTAAGCTATGGAATTCTACATCAATGACTTAATCGGCATACTTTCAAAAAATTATACCAACAGCAAAAAGCTTCCGTATTCCCTTTACTACTTTCTCTACACAAACAATTCTAATGGTCGAACATAGAAACGGAAATGTCACTCCACACAACAGAATAATAAAAAAAGGGACCTGATGTTCAATTAGACGTGTGGTGGATATATGTATTTTAATGTGTACTGTACACATGAATAAATGAACGTGAAAGTGACCAGTAGTTTATGCTGAAGTGTTAAAGTCAATCGAACAAACACCTAAAATATAATCACTAAATACATAATTTTATATATAATTCTTTAAATTAAACTACCACAGTGTTTTAATCGTATAAACGACAAATGTGATCAATCGATTGCAAGTCATGTGATGTAACAAGTTGAACACAAACATCAATAAATAAATAAATAAATAATAAGCACTTTATGACTAGCATAGAGAAGTAGCAAGTTAATAGGTGGGGTTTTTTTTTCGTTGGTACATTTCATTTGGGACAGTCGATTAAACACAGATCAACCACCACCTTACTACTGCACCTTGCCAATTCTTGATCAGTTTATTTGACGATTAGATATTAGATCGCCAATTTAAATCAGCTTTATCTGATTTGGTTTTTTGGTAGTCATGAAAAGACATAAGTCACAGTCATATATGCTAAGATGGCATTGAGTAACTGAATAACATGAATATTCATAGTAATTTAACATATTATTATTTTATTGTTGTTCCTTTGGGTTCCGAGTGGAACATAGGGCTTCAACAACACATCTCCACTTGATCTTTCTCTTTGCAGTCCTGTTTAGCTGTCCCCAAGATTACCCATAGTCTCTTATCTCCTCCATGTCACCCTCGCACCAATCCATCTCCATTTTCTCCTACATATTTGTTGAGCAATCGGCTCTTGGTAAGTCTGTTTCCAGCCAGAGTTTCTTGTTGTTAATTCTTTCTGGCAGGCATTTGATCTTCAGTACGGAGCCAGCGAAGTGGGCAGTTGTTGATAAAAGTCTGCAACCTGTTGGAAATGCTCTTCTTGACGAGCCAAGTACCTGACCCGTATAATGGTGAGTATTTCCACCTGCCATATGGAAATCCCAGGTTCGACTCCCGGTCGAAAAGCCAAACCTCACCCAGCTTGCTAGTTTTCTAGCCGGTCCGACGCCCGGGAAAAGAGGGGGGTTGAGCATGGGGCTAGAAACCCTACCCCAGGAAATCAATCAAACTGTTACAAAAACGTCAACGCACAAGAAAATATTAAAAAAAACACGTAATTTAACACAATAAATCTGTCATTCTTCAACTGATTAATATGTAGACATGCTTATTTACATTACTGCATAGAGTTCATTTACACATGCATTCAACTCAGATGCCAATACACCGTTTTCACTTTGCTGGGTGCAATTATGGGCAAGAGTAAACTTTAGACACCAAAGTTAAATGACCTTGATTTGACCAATCAGATAGCTCAGCATTATAAATGGTTCCTAGTCATAATCCTCTTTGAAAGTGTCTTCTATATTTGGTTTTTGACTTATCTGTAGATAATGTGTTGATAGGGAGGAATAAAACATGCATGTGTGGAGGGATAATAACTCTGGAAAAGTATTGCTGGGCTATATTGATGGTTATACATTCAGATGCAACCACTTTATATGAGGAAGTCTGTATAAGTTGATAAGTCACACATAACTGGTGATTTTTAGACACTTTCTTCGCAAAATCAAAGCTCTCCCTTAGAAATATATTGTGTATATGCAACCAGTGTCTGCTACAGCTGCAGAAATAGAGAATACATTGGTTTGATATGTTTATAACCACTTCTATGAGAATCTGGGACCCTATATGATTCATTTTTAGTACATATATCGTAGATACACTTCTTTGTAAATTAAGTACCACTTTTCAGCTAGAAGAATCTGATTGGCTGTTTCAAGGTCGTCTGAAGTTGGTGTCTATTCTTTACTGTTGCCCAATTATGAAGACATCAACAGCTATATGTCAACTTCATTTACGAATCAATTTATGAAGTTTAACTGATAGAATAGTGCATAAACAAACATGCATGCAGTTCTCGATTAGTAGTAGTAGTAGTAGGAGTATTATGACTACTGTTCACATACTGTGTTACACAAAGTTTAAAACACAGACAATTTAGCAAGAAGTTATTTCCAATAACGATGGAAGAAATGAGGAACTAGGGTCACACGTATTATATGAGAAAGCATAAATGATAAACAGTTCAAAAATCGACTCGAAGTAGTGACAGTGTAAATAAACCGATTTTAATGGTCACAAGTGTGTCTGTTGTTCAACACAGAAACATGCTAACCAACCAAGCATGTGGGTCGATTCACAGGCTGACGAACTACTACTGAACTCCGGTAGTATTCCTGAAAGGAAGACGAGGTTGGGCGAGAGGCTGGCAACCCCATCTCATAGATAGAGCAACACAACCGCTACTGGTGTGGTGAGAGCTGGCTGCTAGACAAATTGGTAGGCAGTAATTTACATCAATGTTTACGTCCCCAATATTGGTCATGAGAAAAATAAGAACAAATATTGACTTAACAACCAACCACAGAAGACTTTGCGTAGGCGGATACAGTTTGCAGATAGATAATCGGAACTTCAAGAAACGGCCACAATGAGATGAAAGATTAACGTTCAACGAGAAACCACCAATCAGAAGACTGCGTTTGCTTGTTTACAGTAATCTATAATAATGTACATTAAAATCTATAAATATCTGTTGATTTCCTAAATAAACGATCTGTTGCCTGGCCCTTGTCTTCTGTTGTTACACTGGAACTTCAAGGTATCAAAGCCTGAAATATCATGTTCAACGGGGAACATAAGGAATAACGGAGAAAATGATCACATATCAGTTCGGCAGATAATCGTAATATCACCTTTCTGAAATAATTGTTGGCAGATTCTTATTGAAGTTGAGGGTTTCTACAGTACCCGTTGATTGATTGTTACACTTACTGGTCACTTGATTTTAGTTTTCAAAAGACACTCAGAACTGTATCACACACTGGTAGATAAAAATTACGCCTTGATTAAATTAGTATGCATAAATCTCATCAGAGGGGAGGCTGGCTGGCTGGCTGGATTCAACATAGAACTTGGCACCGAGATGCAGCAGTTCGAGTTGCCACGTTCCAAAGAGCACACAAAGGTAGACAAGAAAATAAGTGTAGGGAATCAATAGAGTTTTGACAAGTATAAGAGTGAAACAGAATGAGTAATGGTAGAAAGGAATATGAAAGATTACAGAGACTGAATACATCTGCGCCATTGACAACAATTTTAAGCCATGTCACCTATTGTCTCCAGCCATTGATTCTTAGAGTCCCGAGGGCGGGCCCCAACCCGGAAGTCTGCATCTCCCTACCTGACTCAGTTTAACTGTTAAGGATTTCATGGATTGATGAGGCCATGTTTTTGTTTGGCCTCCTCTTACTCTTTTCCAACCTGCACCTATATCAGCTAGTAATGCCCGTCGGGGTAGGCGATGGTTAGGCATGCGCAGCACGTGACCTAGCCATCTCAATCTATGTAACTTCATAGCCTCTTCGAGTGATTTTCCCTCTTTGCCCAACACTCTACGCCTAACGTCAACATTACTTACCTTATTATACCACCTAACGTGAGAAAGAGATCGTAAACATCTGCGGTCAAAAACAGACAATCTCTTCATGTCTTCCGCTCTCAATGGCCACGTCTCACCGCCATAGAGAAGGACAGAGCGAACTGCTGAGCAGTACACACGTCCCTTG